GATGGATGCACTTTATTTCACTTCTTTTGGACTGATGAACTGCAACACCCGCTGACTGCCATTAAACAGCTTGGAAGATCAAAGACAATTTTTAATATAACTCCGATTGGATTCATCTGAAAGAAGGAAGTCATATACGCCTAGGATGGCTTGAGGATGAGTAAATAATGGGCTAATTTTCATTTTTGGGTGAACTATCCCTTTAAGCGCACGTCTCTCAACGCTGATATAAAGCAACCAGAGCTTAAAGGTGCAATAGGTGATTGTCTTCAGAAACATTTTTTGTTGTGCCGGTTGAAAGTCTCTTCATATCCCGATAGCAATCATTAAGTTAAGTGGTCTAAATGTATTTATATATCCTGTGGAAGGTGTAGGACCAAGAAATGTTCGTCCAATCAAAACGCTCGGTCCGAGCGTTTTAATTGGCTTTCCTACCTGCCTGTCGCTGTGCAGACAGAGCGAGAATGGCAGACAAACATCAACAACCTGATCTTCCTTCCTGGTATTGTAATACTTTTACTAACTGTGCTATAAAGTTTTCTCACCGGTCAATGACACATGATTTATTGTAGTAATGTTGTCTCTGGTCATCTGGTGTGCGTATGCGTTCAGGCGTGTGGCTTTGGACGGCGATTACAGGGAGAGTGGGACATTCGCTTTCAGTGCTATCAGGCTAAGTTAGCATTTTCCAAGATCTCCTACTGCACCTTTAAAGTGACGCAATGATTTTACCAATTAGCCACTGGCTTTTCTAGAAGATTGCGCTTTCTCCCATTCATAAGTAATGTGCACCGTCTTGTATATCTAAAGTCTTTGAACTGACTCACATTCTTTCAATTTGATGTAGCTTCTCAAGAAGTGCCCACTGCACATGCGGGAGATGCTAAATCAGCAGCAAGGTCAAATACGTCTAGCTAGCTAGCGCATATTTACATAGAAATGTTGTGAGGTAGGCTTTAATAATGTTTTAGTCCAACGAATGTCCTTCGGTTTAAATGTTTTAGTCAAACCCACATTCAACAACTAGTTTCAGTGAGTCAAAATATTTTGTGGTTAAATGATAGACGGTTCTTTGTGTCTCCATGGCAATACTCACAGGCAAGTCTTCATAAACACAGTGTATGACATTTCCTGTAATCCAAGCTGTCTATGGCATGGCTTTAATGATATGTTCTGAAAGATCCACAAATCATTAAGGTCTGAGTATGAGTATGGATGAATAATGAATAAATTCTTCCCCTTGTGTGGCAAGGTTTGTTACTGCCCCATTTTTTGGAATGTGTTACAGGCTCTATGATTTAAAACCTTATTTTTTGGCTTTTTAAAGAATTAATTATAAGGCACCGGCTGCCAGAGATACTGTATCTAGTGTGCTGTATGTCTTTGCTCTCTACAGAGACAGGTTGGAAGAGACGAATTATCTGGTACTTCCTCTGCAGGACAGGTGGGAAGACATATTTTTTCCCTCATCAATCTATGCATGAGCTTTGAGACCTGATGGAAATACATAAACATTAGCTAAACTAGGATTCTGTGGTCTTTGTATGCCTGCAGTTTCATTCATGAACCACATATTAGCTATCCCATATGTAAAGTATTTATTTTATTCAAGGGGGAATCACACATATTTTTATTTGACGTACTAACAGTAAATCTACATCAATATTTCTCCCATATCTGGCTGTACATCTGGATTCTATTTGGAGTTCAGTTCGTCACTTTGACTCTCCGTGTTGAAACTACAGTAGATGACAGGACTACAATGACATGAACATCCTTAAAGGCTAAAATAGAGGCCATTTCTGCAACTGTATGTAGAGTAAAAATAAAACACTTTTCATTTTAGTAGGACAACTGAGAGAGAAAGTAATGTTCTACACAATACACCCGGTGAAAAAAAATATTGTAACTTGTGAAGATTTATAGTTGAAAAACAGTTAAAATTTCCCATGCAGTTCATATAATGTATTGTTTTAGATCTAAAAGAACATGTAAACCCTATTAACACATAATACGTATACATATAATAATAAAAAAAAAAAAGGCTCATTATTGGAAATACATTTTAATCAGGCACTTTGTCAAGTATATAAAAAAGTATGTTTCAAAGGATTAAGGTGGAAACTGAACAAAATTCAGTGTTTTCTGATCATTATTTACAATAAAACACCACCACTTATATCAATGCCCTTTGGATTATACTGGGTACAAAGGTAAGACAAATGGCTGGCCAATTTTTTGGACCACAGTGCTATTCAAAAGTAATGTAAACAGATTTCCTTCACCTATAACTGAACAGTGACTTGAACATCATGAGAAACGTTTTAAATGAACACAGAAAAACTGAACATTATTTATTTTCCTTCAAGGCAGCACAAATATAACACGTTCACAGTTACGAGTGAGGAATTGTTTGTGTACAAAAGTGAAGCATCTGCCATAAATATAGGATACTTTAACAAGAAAAGAGATTTCGTATCCTTAGGAAACACTGAAATTCTTCTTTTTGAGAATTTGAACAAAGAAAAATTTTAACAATCAGTTATAAACACAATCATGATTTTCTTCAATAGGCACTGTGGATTTTCAAAATTATAAGTTGAGCCTTTCAATGAACATCAAAATATGTTGACAAAAAGATTCTGAGAAAAAAAAACTGTCTAGAAAAAACACTAGTAGAATTTTTAGCACAGAAATTAAGTATGGTCAAATGGCAACATTTACAATCATTTTCAAAGTGTTAGAAAATAATTTACAAAAATATGTTTCACAATCTTGCTAGAAGAATGTTCAATGCTGCCATTATTTAGTTTGAAATTGTACAAACTGTACATTGTAGGAAAAAATGCATCACTAAAATCAAATCACCAGTGCTTTTCAACAAATATGGGTGTCATTTACATACACAAAGCAAAGTAATCCAGCATTTTATGGTATAACTAGCAACATTTACCAATTGTTTTGAGTAATGATTGAAAGATGCTACAAAAAAATGTACCTATAAATGTCAGTACCTTGATTAGGGAGTAGTGGAGTTTTAAATGAATCTTTCTTTTGGTCGAATTAAGTATAATATTGGATAGCTTGATGTATTTATTCAAACATAAACATCCAGTAAAAATTATCAGTCTAAGCCTATGACAAAAAACAAAACAAAACAAACATTGAAGTTATCAGGTTATTAGCCTATATATTGTATCAACAACATGATAACGATTTCCACTGGCCTTGAGAATATTTGTGTTAGACTCTGTGTTCAAAGAAAGACTTGATAACAAACATGAGTATAGCAAGGACAATACATTATTTCCAGTTACATTGCTGCCATGACAATATTTTCCATTTCTGTTACTGTTATTTCTTTGCAATTTTACAAAATTCCTGGCACAGATAGCTTGTCTTAGCTAATTAAGTAGCAACTTGGTGCTTGATTTTATAATCCTCACAAAATGGGGAAAAACTTTTTTTTTGTATTTTTAGTTTCATAAGCTACAACTGTGTTCCCATTAGTCAAGCTAAGGGAGGGGAAGCAGCATGTAGAAATCAATATGATCACTGGGGTCTGCAGCAAAAACTTCAAAGACTGTGTACATTGGCATTTTGCAGATGCTGTACATTTTTTTTGTTTTTTACTGTTTTTATATAAATACTAACAGAAAAACATATTCCCCAAATATTTAAGAGCTTAATACTGAACATACTTAGAACACTTTAGAATGGCAACTGTTAATAAACTAAAACAAGCTCTCATAACAAACATACTGTTACGGCCACATATATACAAATATAAATGTATGTCAATAAAATCACAGGTTATAGCAACCGCTTGACATATGTCATTCTTTTTAAACAAAAAACATCAGTACAAAAATATAAAATACAAAAAGTGTTTTTTCTTACAAAACATTGACATCAAACATAACTGTCCTTTAAAATGTGCAATTGCTGGGCTAAGAAAATTGTCATTTGATCTTCAGGATCGTTAGAACAGCATTATAAAACAACTCAAGTCAGTAAGTCTAAAGAAGGGTGACAAAAGCACCGCTTTCTGAAACCTCTGGCCAGCCAGTGGGGCAACATTACATACAACAAGATATTGAGGGCTATGCCAGAGGAGAGGCATTTTTAGAGTACCTGAGCAGGTGGGAATGCGTTCTGGTGAGCTCTCCTTAGACAGCATTAAATCCTCAGTTCTGTCTCCTCATGTTCTAAGGAGTGTTCATTTGTACCCATAATGGAGGACGAGTGACCTCCAAAGGGAGCAATGGCTGGGGAATGGGCAGCAAGTGGCGAAAGTGATGGAGAAAAACTCGGAGACATGGCTATTGAGGAAACAGTGCCATCATGGTCAATGGGAGATCGGCGCAATGAGGACAGGTGTGGAAATGTTCGGCCTACAGCAGGTTTCGGCAAAACCGTTTTGGCCCCTGGATGTGCTACAGAGGTAATAAGGGGAGGAGGGTCAATTCTGGGCTTGGGATCTGTCTTTGCTTTGGGATGAAACGGCCGCCGAGGGTTAGGTGGCGCATTCTCATCTTTCAATCTGGCAATTTCTGTAAAGACATTAGCCAGAGGCTGAAATTGAGGGCACCAATCGAGGAGGTAGTCCCAGTTGTAGCTTCCCCTCAGTTCCTCATCACTAGCCACAATAGCTGTAAGAGAACCATCTACAGCAGGCTTACCATCCTCCGGGAAAGCATAATCTTTCGGATGCGAGATTTTAAGCCCTCTTCCAACCCCAAGATAACCACCTCCTTCATCCCGATAAGTTGGCAACTGGCTTGATGGTAGTGTCCCACTTAAACTTCCCAGTTTTTTCCCTTTAAACCATTGATTTGCATCCATCCCTGGCTCACAGGAAATGTCAGACAGCTGGTCAGCATCTTGCTGGATACCAGAATCGGGCCCACGAGCAGCTATGTGCTCCTGCATGGAGGAGGAGATGCTGGAAACTTGAGGATACTCATTAATCATCCGGATCTCATCATCTTCTGCTGCTTCCGCTTCGGCAGAACCACGTCCACTGGAGTGAGATGGGTCAAGAGACCCACCTCGTGCGTAGGTACCTCCTCCGCTCCCAGTTTGGTCTGTTGCATACCCAGGAAGAGTCGGATGATACAGCTTATCACCCCCTGGTACTTTCGATTCTTCAAGACTCTCCAGAATGGTACCGTGGGATACTATTCTGGCGCAAGCCTCTTGTTCTTTGTACCTTTGGGATCTCAAGAGGAATATCACTACAACAACTATGATCAGGAACACAATGGCTGCCAAGGAAGCTGTTATAGCACTGGCAAGTACCACATTCATGTCTGTGTTCAAGCCGAAGGATGTATGAGTGACATCAATTGTGACCTGGGCAGAAGCTTTTCGGGAAATCTCCAAAGGACTGTGAGCAGTAACATCCAACGTCATCTGACGTGTCTCTCTTTTGGACCGGCTTGTATGTCGATGATATGCATCCATCTTGAGGGATATCACTCCTGTAAACGTGTTGACCTCAAAGTAAGGCGAACTGTTTGCGAGTGTGTAGAGGACAATGCCGTCCACCCCTCCATCCTCATCATTAGCATTTACTTGCCCGATGCTTTGCCCTTTCTTGGCACCCTCAGGTACGTGGAAGGCGAAATCTGAGTTAGTGAAAACCGGGTCGTACTCATCTTCACCAGTCACAAAGACTTGAACTGTGACTGTGGCCGAGTAGTTGCCTGCATCCATTGCGATAGCAATAAAATTGAAAGCGTTTACCTTCTCGAAGTCGAATGTAAAGCGGGTTCGCACCTCACCGGAGGTTTGGTTCACAAGGAAGGAATCTTTACCGTTGCCGGAATTATACATGAGGAAATATCTCAATTCTCCATATGCTCCTTTGTCATGATCAATGGCATGTAGTATGGTAACTAGAGCATTTTGGGGCTGGTTTTCACGAATGCTTGCTGTGAGTGATTTAAGAGGGAAGTAAGGCCTGTTATTATTGATGTTCTTGACCTCGACAGTTACAGGAGCAAGAGCGAAGTGGCCCTGACCGTCTGAGGCCTGAATGATGAACACACGAGAGGACTGTTTCTCACTATCAAGAGACCTCCGCAGACGAAGGGACCCAGTCCAGCGATCAATAGAAAAGAGCTCAGACTCGTCTCCAGAACTGATTGAGTATTGAACCTCTCCATTAGATGTTGAGTCAGGGTCCACTGCAAAAAGTTGAAGTATTTCTTTTCCCGTTTCTGCCCCTTCATTGACAATAACGTTGTACTCAGCCCTACTGAAGGATGGAGGGTTATCATTGGTGTCCATTACAGTGATTAAAACCGGAACACTTGAGCTTCGTTGTGGTATGCCGCGATCTGAGACCACAATAGTGAGATTGTAGCCATTCGCACTCTCAAAGTCAAGCTTATCAACTAATATCAGCGTTCCAACTGTCTGAAATCCATGGCCCTCAAGGAAACGAACACTGCTCTCGATTTGGAAGGCGTTACCAATGTTTCCACTGGCAATGGCGAAATCAAACCCGCAGTTGTCCCTAGATAAGTCCCCATCCACTGCTTCCAGGGTTAGGATGGTTGAACCAGGAACTTCATCTTCAGATACAGAGGCTCTGTACTCAGTCTGGTGGAATACAGGGGCATTGTCATTGACATCAGACACATGCACCTGAACTGTGGTAAGGGCAGTCAACGGAGGTGTTCCACTATCACTGGCTTCAATCACCACCAAAATGGAAGGGCGCTGTGAGTCAAACTCAACCTTCTGCTTGATGAACAGAGTACCTATGTAAAGAAATTACATTATAAGGTAAGATCAGGGCTTTTACTAAATGCTTCAAAACAGTAGTTCTGGTGGGTGACAACCCAAAAATGATATCCTGAACAGGGTCCTGGACTGCTGTGCATCCAACTATAGAGTCTTTAGGCATAAATTGATCTACTCAATAATTGGAATAGTGTTTTTTAAATTCTTTAGGCTTGTAAATCACATTTCTTCTGTTGTTAATGATTTGCACATTTTCCATAATTTTTTTTCTATTCAGTATCATTATGCATATTTTGTGATCTCTGTAATTCACATTACTTGATTAACAAATTTGATACTGCCACTTGACATCCTAAAACGTGGGCCCTGAAGAAAAACCAGCTGAGAACCACTACATCAAAAAAATTATGTCTTGTTCCTTAAGAATGAATTCTACATCTGACAATGATTTGGATGAAGAACAATAAACAAAAGGAAAACAACAAGAACAAAATGACAAATTACCATTGCTTGGGTCAATGTAGAACATGTCCTTTGTTGACACAACCCTGTATGTTATCCTTCCGTTGTCTCCGGAGTCCTTATCTGTAGCAGTTACTGTGATAACTGAGCTTCCTGCTGGCGAGCGTTCTGCTAGAGTCACCTGCCAAAGACGTAAATCGGTCTTAACACTGACGGCTTTGATCAGTACACAGCATCAATTTGTTTTTTCTTTTACTTAAAGAAATATTTTTGTAAATGTGCTCACAGGGAATATTTTCGAAACAAAAATGTGTCTCTTTGACATTTAAATAAACTGCAAGTGCCTTTTGCAAGTGCAAGTGAAAAGTATTTATTAAACAGAGTGTAGAATATCAAAGTTAGTGTAATCTGTTATTATTGCAAGGCCCCCTAAAATACTTTTGATCGGTCAAATAACTGTTTACTATGTATTATTCAAACATCTTGGGTACCAGTCTTGGGAAAGTTACTTTGGAAATGTAATAGGTTACAGATGACAAGTTACACTATTTGAAATGTAATATGTAGTGCAACTATTTCAATTACTTTTTAAAGTAATGTAACTGATTACATTTGATTACTTTTTAATGATTTTTCTAAATTTCTAATGAATGTTTTCAAAACGTTTTCACATTTTTTCTCAGTAATCACAGTCACATTTATTTTGTAATTAAATTACATAATTTGGTAACATGTAACTAATTACTCCACAACATTGTTGGGTACTTCAAACATTTTAATGTACTTTTTCTATCAATATTCATCCTGAACATGTGCTTTTTCCAAACATACCTCATAAAGGTCCTGGGAGAAGACTGGAGCATTATCATTCACATCCTCCACAAGCACGGTCAGATTTGCGTAAGTCCGGTGTTTGGAGTCCGAGGAGCTGACGGTCAGCATGTACCATGTTCTATCTTCAAAGTCCAGAGAGGCAGTCAAAGACACCCCGCCTCCATAGCGATGTATTCCAAACTTTCCTTGAGTGTCTGAGTCCAGAAGCAGGGAATAGGAGAGAGCCGGCCCAGAGTCCACATCATTCCCTGTGACCTGAGTGATCACGGTTCCAATCAAGGTATCTAGAGAGAGAAATACACAATCTTGATAACCCAGTGTGAAATGTAATTTATTGTTTCCGTTTGTGGTTGCACCTTTCAAAAGTATTACATATTGTTGGACAACGCCCACTATTATTGGACACATTGTACAACATCAGTGACAGGAAATAACCATTAAGGACCTTGGCAAGAAAAACGCCTGGTAATTGAGTCAATCTTTCAGCATGGTGTGCCTCACTGTTTGTCTGCCAGAAAAAATAGGAAATTTAGTTCATTGATTACAGGAGTGATATTGAGTTCAAACAGCAGTCAACTTACTCTCAGGGACCCGGACTTCACGTGGAACAGGGATGGTGGGACTGTTGTCATTCAGGTCTACGATGATCACAGTGAGAGTGGCAGAACCTGCTAACCGAGGACTACCTCTGTCCGTTGCCATAATAACCAGGCTGGAGACACAACAACAAAATTAGAGTCAGAGTCTGGACATTCTCACAGACTATTTTTATGCTGACAGGAAAGAAATTTAAGACGTTTTAAAGTGCAAACTCTAATAATAATCAAACGAAGATATTATTTCAGGGAATATAAAAGTTTTAACCGCATCGATGGAACTGCCTCTACAGAAGTGTCATTCCGTCAATAAATACGTGAGCATTACTTTTTTTTTCTTAGCTATTTAAAATTAAAAAGACATTACTTTTCAATCACTTCTGTTTAAGGATAAAGAAGGTAAAAGGAAATGATCTAAACTGCTATAAAAGCAGATGGAAGAACTTAGTACTTGGTCTGTGTCCAGATCTCTCTGTCCATGATGGCAGCGGTGGATATACTGCCTGTGACAGGGTCGATCTTGAAGAGGCCGCTCATGGACGATGACCTTATGGAGTAGGTCACCTGCCCGTTCTGACCCTGGTCCAGGTCATTCGCCAACACCTGAGGAAATTACCGGTGAAATTGGCAATGAAAATACAGACAGATTCGCAACAGCTGCTCGAGCGTAACATGAACCTCTAAGCAATGTTGGGCTTGGAACTCAAATTATTTAGAAAAAAAAAAAAGTTGAAAAAGGGAATTGGTTGTGGCTATGTGGGACAGCTGAGCCTATATTCTCACCATGGACAATGAAAACATTGTGGGAGCCGCAAAGGAAACTCTTTTGGCTTGCACTGAAAATATGCTGTATTTAGGCCAAGGGATGTTGTACTCCACAGCTTTTATGAAGACTCAACCACTGAGAAAACAAATGGGAGATTACTGTACCTGAATGATAGGATGATCATAGCCCTGGGCCTCACGAACATAAGCAACGTAATTGTGAAGCTGAAAGCGTGGTAAGTTGTCATTGACATCCTGTAGGAGAAGGTTAACTGCCATGAAGGAACTGGAGGATGCGATATATATATAATTCAATTTATTATTCAATGCAATATAATACACAAATAAATATTTTTCTTATGTAAGAGGAATAAATTAAACTTCTTTCCTTTAAATTATTACTTTATCAAATGAAAAAGAACACTAAGAAAAAAAAATGGAAATCATTTAACTTTGTCCTCACAGGACCAAGTAATTCATTAAATCAATTTAAGCAAAATATAATAAAATATTCATAACCATGATAGTTGTCAGGGAGAGTCCAGCCTCGTCAGGCCCAATCATCTCACACACCCATTCACAATCACCGGAGTACTAATCAGCCGCACCTGTCACCACCTCCTGAGCCTATATTCTCACCATGGACAATGAAAACATTGTGGGAAACGCAAAGGAAACTCTTTTGGCTTGCACTGAAAATATGCTGTATTTAGGCCAAGGGATGTTGTACTCCACAGCTTTTATGAAGACTCAACCACTGAGAAAACAAATGGGAGATTACTGTACCTGAATGATAGGATGATCATAGCCCTGGGCCTCACGAACATAAGCAACGTAATTGTGAAGCTGAAAGCGTGGTAAGTTGTCATTGACATCCTGTAGGAGAAGGTTAACTGCCATGAAGGAACTGGAGGATGCGGTTTCAGCCTTGACCACCAGGCGGAGTCGTGGGGTCTCCTCAAAGTCCAGACCTTTGGAGCTTTCTACCCAAATCTCACCTAAATAAGGAATGTATTATGACTAATACTGAAACATCCTTCCCCTTTAGAAAGACTACTATCACAATAAGTTCATGCAATGACTTCGATTACCTGTGTGGGGGCTGATGCTAAAGGACTGCTGCTTGTTGCCACTGAAAATGCTGTAGTTGATGCCACTGCTAGATCCATCAGGATAGTGAGCCTGTATCTGAACAACTGCTGTACCTATAAGAAAAAAAGACCTTTACTGATTAAAAGGAAATTTTCCATCAACTTGGCATGTATGAAAGGTTTAGTGATGCACAATATGTCATTACCATATCGTTTAATGTCTGATGTTTTATCATCGCAGTCAATATTGGATATTTAATCATGCATTTCATTTCCCTTAGTTTTATATTTAGATGACTTTTGCCAACATCTAACACTCACAATAAATTAATATCCATTTTTCATACTGTACACTGAAATATCGTGATGCCTAAATTCACTTGTAGCATTTAAAACGAACTGATTTTAGATGCTACTGTTTTATTTTTGAATTATACAGCAGCCAAAAATAGGTTAATATTGCTGCATTTTATTCTAAACTAGACATTCATATCCAATTTTTGCAGACGCTTTTACCCAAAGCGACTTAAACTGCATGCAAGGTATATATTTTATCAGCTCATGCATTTCCTGTTAATCGAACCCATGACCTTGGTGTTGCTAGCGCTATGCTCTACAGTTTGAGCTACAGGAATATCAGTTGGATATCACTGATGTACAGGGTCATTATCACACCTTTAGCAGCATTCTCCTGCAGGCTGACATCCCTGGTGTTGCGAGCGAAGCGGATGCCCTGGTAACTCTGCTCTCTGATGTACACGATCACAACTCCCAGAGAGGACTGCGATGGGTTACCCTGATCCATGGCCTCCACAATGAGGGTCCGCTGGCTCTGGGTCATCGTGTGGAGCTTTTCGGTGGCCTGGATGTCCCCAGTCAAGGAGTTTATGGTGAAGCCTTTGACAGGATTCGCAAACCGATAAAATACAGATCCATTTGCACCGAAGTCTTTATCTTCAGCTCTCATGGTGGCCAGCACCTTGTGGTTGGAGAGACTACTGCTGGACATATTGATGATGAGCGGGTCTGTGATGAAGAAGGGGGCGTTGTCATTTACATCTAAGATGTGGACGGTGACTTCAGCAGAGGTGTTACGGGGGTTGGAGGCTGAGGAGTCCATGGCGTAGACTTTGAAACTGTAGGAGGCCACTTTTTCTCGGTCGAGGGCTGCTGCTGTAATAATGCGACCCGTGTATTGGTCCACAATTAACATACCTCTGGATTCGTGGCTCAGGAAGTAGACAACCTGACTGTTGGACCCTTCGTCCTTGTCAGAGGCTGAAACCTCCAGAACAAGAGACCCTTCTGATGCATCTTCTGATACCTCCACTGAGTAGCTGCTGCTGGGGAACACTGGGCTGTTGTCATTCAGGTCCAAGACACTGATGTCCAAAGTGACAGTACTGGTGAGGGATGGTATTCCTTGATCTTGTGCCTCCACGGTGAGGGTGTACTTTGCTTTGGACTCTCGGTCCAAAGGCCTGGAAGTGGACAGCACACCTGATTTCCTGTCCAGGTGGAAATCACCAAAATGGTCTCCGCCTGAGGAAAGAAAGTTATGAAAATAACGTTGTCATCTGGCCTGTTAGTGTAATAAAACAATATTAATAAATTTAATTAATGCTGACCAATGAAGGGTGCAATGTATATATATATATATATACATATATATACGTCAAGGCAAGGCCTCCGTGAGCGAGTATGCCATTAAATTCCGCACTCTGGCGGTGGCGAGTGGATGGAACGAAGTGGCCTTACTGACTGCGTTCCGGCAGGGGCTGAACGCCGACATTCGCCTTCAAATGGTGATATTTGACGACACCGTGGGGTTAGAGAGTTTCATTCAAAAGGCTATCAAGATCTCTCAACATCTCCTGGCCTGTAACCCGATCCAGCCACCCGCCTCACCGAGCACATCCGACTCACCGGCTCCAGCACCAGAACCCATGCAAGTGGATTCGTACCATCTCACCCATGCGGAGCGTTCGCGGAGGATGACCTCGGGACTATGTCTATATTGTGGGGAGCATGGACATTTGATTCGCTCATGTCCTATCCGACCAGCATGACCCACGGTGAGTATTATCCAGCTCAGTCCTCAAATTGTTACATTGACTCAAATTAATGTATTATTAATGTCATCTCAACAATCCCTTTCAGCGCAAGCCCGGCCGTGTATTGATTACCGGACCCTCAATTCACAAACCATGAAATATCCATATCCCCTTCCACTGGTGCCGGCCACCCTCGAGGAACTTCGGGGAGCTCGTATCTTCTCCAAGCTGGACCTGCGAAGCGCCTATAACCTTGTTTGGATCCGTCATGGTGACGAGTGGAAGACCGCCTTCATCACACCCACCGGACACTATGAATACTGCGTTATGCCATATGGCCTATCCAACTCACCTTCCGTATTCCAGGGCTTCATGAACGAGGTGTTCCGGGAGTTCCTCCATCATTCTGTGATCGTGTATATCGATGACATCCTGATTTACTCTCGGAACCTGGCCGAACATCGCCACCACTTGGAGCAGGTCCTTCAACAACTGAGAAAATACCATCTCTATCTCAAGCTGGAGAAGTGCGAGTTCCACCTTACCACCGTCAAGTTCCTCGGATATGTCATCAGTCCTCAGGGCATCTGGATGGATGACAAAAAGGTCCACTCCATTCACCACTGGCCACAACCCCGGACAGTTAAGGAGCTCCAACGCTTTCTAGGGTTCTCAAATTTCTACCGCCATTTCATCCACCATTTCAGTCTACACACAGCCGCCCTCACGTCTATGCTCCGCAATAAGCCCAAGTCTCTGTCCTGGACGCCCGCAGCCCTCCAAAGTTTTGAGGAATTGAAGGAAGACTTCTGCACCGCTCATACCCTCGCGCTGCCTGATCCTCAGAAACCATTTGTCGTGGAAGTAGACGCTTCCACTGTAGGAGTCGGAGCGGTGCTCTCCCAGCAGTCTGGAGAGCCTCCTAGCCTCCATCCCTGTGCATACTTCTCCCACAAGCTTTCCCCGGCGGAGCAGAATTATGACATCGGGAACCACGAGCTTCTCGCCATCAAGCTCGCGCTGGAGGAGTGGAGACATTGGCTGGAGGGAGCTCTTCATCCCTTCCAGGTCATCACTGACCATCGGAACTTGGAATATCTTCAGGAGGCCAAACGCCTAAACCCACGTCAGGCACGATGGGCGCTGTTCTTCACCCGTTTCCAGTTCACTGTTACCTACCGTTTGCAACTTCGGCATCCCGGAGGATATCGTCTCCGATCGTGGGCCCTAGTTCATCTCCCGGGTTTGGAGGGCCTTCTTCCATCTCCTGGGCGTATCAGTAAGCCTCACCTCCGGATATCACCCACAGTCCAACGGCCAGACTGAGCGCAACATCCCCTTCCATGTCTCACTGCTCAAACCCTGTGTTCACCCTATGTCTGCTTCTTCCCCAGGGCCTGACGAATCCGGCGTACTCCCTCCTCCTCCCGAAATCGCGGAAGAGGAGACCATCTACAGAGTCAATTCACTTTTGGACTCCCAGCGTTGAGGCGGGACGCTAGAGTATCTCGTAGATTGGGAGGGGTTCGGCCCCGAAGAGAGATCATGGGTTCGTAGAGATGATGTGCTAGATCCCTTACTCCTCAGTGACTTCCATGATCGTCACCCAGATCGTCCCGCTCTCCGGAGCCGCGGCCGTCCTCGACGTCGGCAGCGGGCGTCGGGAGCCGCCCGTGGGTACTGTCAGGGAGAGTCCAGCCTAGTCAGGCTCAATCATCTCACACACCCGTTCACAATCACCGGAGTACTGATCAGCCGCACCTGTCACCACCTCATCAGCACTAGTTTAAATGCACAGCCACTGCAGTCACACTTCGTCTGGTCTTGAGTTTACTATGCTACTCCTTACCTGACTCACTGAACCCGGACTCCATCCTGATACCTTCCTGTCTCTGTGCCATCTTCTTCAGCCCGATCCACCAAAGAACCCTTCATCACGTGAGCCCGATTCCTTCCATTCCATAGACTGTTGCTCTAACCCGTTTGCTCTCCATCTCTCTCACTCTCCCAGCACCTGTTCAATAAAGCTCTGTTTACTTTACCTCTCCGTCCCTGGTCTCCTTCTGTACTGTGACAATAGTTGGGTGTATTTCTTGTACATATGTCAGTACAGGCTGCCACATAATGTTTGACAAACCTTTTGTGGAATGATGTGGAATAATGAATATTTACTGCAAAATGATACATAACATCTTTAACGAAGTGACTAAAAGTACATTACTGTTCAAAAGTTCTCAAGCGGTTCTTTTTTGAAAATAATATTTTTATTCAGCATGGATGAATTAAATTGATCAAAAGTTACTTTAAAGACATTATTAATATTATTTAGCTGCACAACTGCTTATAACATTGTTAATAATAGGATATGTAAACAGTGTTATTTATGTTGCTTTACATCAAATAAGCATATCAGAATGATTTCTGGACTGGACTAGACTGGAGTAATGGCTGCTAATAAATTAATCTTTGCTATTATATGAATAAATTACAATGTAAGATATATTAAAATAGAAATGATGAGTTCTGATGAGGTTGTAACAAATGTTTCTACAATGGGGGAAGGATTAATGGGTATCTATAGAACTGAAAATGATTTTAGGCATGAGCTACACATATGTGAACAATTAGCGGTTTGTATACAATATATAATAATAATTAACATATATTATACAACAACATAAGTATTGCTCATAGCATTAATACCAGTGATTTTGTAGTGCACCAGCCCACTGTCCCCGGAGTCTTGATCTGTGGCTCTAATGGTGAAGAGAGTCACAGGCTACTGTCTATTGTCATTCTCATCCAGCACTGTGACGCGCACTGTGGTCTTGGCACAATTGGGCAGAGAACCACCATCTCTGGCATAAACTGTTTATGAGAGAGAGGTTATAAACTGGCTAAACAAATGTGTGCACAACCGTGACATGACATTGGCAGAAACACAAAACTTCAATCTAAAAGCATATCATTCTCTGTTGCAATTAAGCGACTGTGTTTTATCTGAAGCACCTGTCACAGCATAAACCCCTTGGGCTTCCCTGTCCAAAGCCTTGGTGGTTGTTATGACTCCTGTCACCGGATGAATACTGAAATCATCTCCTACAATACTTCCATATGTCACAATTCCATTGGTCCCTAAGACAAAAGGATAAAGACATTATAAGAGATGAATCTACACAGTTTTCTTGAATGTAAGTCCAAAATATCATGTCTGTGAAAAGCCCATCATTCTTAAGAGGCTGTGTTCACTTTGCACAATGGACTTTTCTCACGGAATGGGTAAACACGTGGCGCACCCTGTTTTTATTTGCTTGTAGTTAATACCGCTGTCTAAGCAGTTGGTCTCAATCGCCCTCCCCCTGGTCCTTGGATGGCAGATTGCGTGCAAAAGGCGAGCAATCTGGCAGAGTGTCACCTGTTTACCTCGCTAATTGTTCATGGAGAGAAAGTTTATGATCCTTCTGTTTTATTTGCCCCTGAGTAAGTCCAAGAGAATGCAGCGCTCCCCTTCCACAACCCTCCCTCCCCCCTCGGCCTGGCACCAATTAAAACCACACACTTTTATTTGTGATGGGTTTGGCTGTGGTATCCAGTGTTTTCAGAGAAATGTTAGACAAACATTCGTGTCACTTTTAAAGAGAACGGTGTGACCACCGCCAACCTCAGAAGGTGGAAATGAACTCTTCTCACTCAATGCGTGCGTTCACAGACAGTACCGTTTAGCATCACATCATCAAGTATATGAGCCATTGTGTGGCAGAGATACAGAAGAATGTAAACAAAATTATTAGGGCTGCCCATTTACTGTTAATTTAGTGTGATTCATTAAATAAAGAACATAATGTGATACAAAATTAACGTAATTAATCATGCTCCTGACTCAGATGTACATTCCACACAGGATTTTCCTACCATCAATTCAAGATTAAAGTACCAAAGTTTTTGTGAGTCCACAGCTAATGTGTACCTTGCCAAACCACATTTACAGGGAGCATGTTGCACAGAATAAGTAAAGGAGACATTTGTACAAAACGTGTTCTTGTTTGGAATCGGCTACATAGCAAGATGTTTTGTTGAACTACTTTTACATTTGACACGCCATCTTTTAAATGTGGCACTCATGATGTAGTCTACATGTATACATAGCAGTGTTGTTTTTGTTAACTAAAAATACAACTAAAAATTAAAAAAAAATGTTTTTGTTATCGAAATAAAGCTAAAATAAAATAATATATAAATATTAGAGGAAATTAAATTTACAGAAATTAGAAATGTTGCCCTTACCAAGTAACTGAACTAATTACTAAAACTAAACTGAAATAAAATACAACTAAATAGAATTATAAAAAATAATTAAAATGATTAAAGCACAAAACAAAACATTAAAACAAACTAAAATGAAACTGAAATCTGAAAACAAAAAAAATCTAATTCAAACTATTAATAAATACTATAACAGGAAATATAAATAAATAATACTAAAATGTCACTAAAATTATGCTTATAAACAGTGAATCAACAACCCTTTAGTCAACCCCACTGAATATTTCATTTGTATTAATTAACAATTATTTTCTAAATTAAATGTCAATATTTATAATTAAATTAATTTTTTTAGGCGTTTTTGACAGGATAGTATTTAGACAGGAAGCAAGAGAGGGTGGGAGAGAGAGAGGGGGAACGGAATTGGGAAAGGTCTGCGGGCCGGGACTTGAAATCGGGACGCCCGAAGCGCAACAATGCTATATGTCGGCACGCTGCCCACAAGGCTATTGGCTCCAACATATAAATTAATTTTCATTCAAATTAAATGCATTATATTAATTAAAATGAATAAAATATTGCTTAATATAATTAAAAAATAATAAAATATGCTTCATTAATATTATAAATACACCACCAGTGGTCCTTATACAACATAACTGCCATGTTTATATGTTAGACATATATAGGAGTGTACTTTACCTTGGTCCAAATCAGAAGCTGAAACCACAAGCACAGTAGTTCCCGGAGGCTGATTCTCTGCAATAAAAGCTTCATATTCACTTTCCTCAAAGTATGGTGCCTCATCATTTACGTCAATCACCTGGATTGACAGTAACTGGGAGCTGCTGTGCTGTTGTAAACCGTGGTCTTCTGCCACTATGGTCAGGTTGTAGAGGTCTTGCTCTTCACGGTCAATTGGTCTAAGAATAGACAAAGACCCTACAGGGGAAATAAGCAAAAGTGTTAGGCTACCATATGATGAATGTAACAAGCATAGTGTCTGGCATTTCTCTTGAGTGATCGCCTGCAGTTTAAACAATTACACAATAATGAAGCCATGATGTAAATTGTTTAAAGCAAAACCACTCGCACTTAAGCAAAGCCTCATTCACACGCTCGCACGACGAATGATTTCCATCTTGTAGCACACTTTGATCTTGCATAAGCAACATCACAGCACGAAAAGTTGAAGCCTTTCTGTTGTGTTAAAAATTAGTGGAAGTCATGCGACGTATTCAAAAATTACTTTTTTTCCCCAATGCACAGCCCTCCCTACCTGAACACTCGCTGAGGCACTGTAACAGCTCAACTATCTGGCCGCAGTTTACAAGTTTTTTCCACAGCAAACAGAAAGAGCGCATAAACAAGCACTCTAGACACGCAACGGCCCGGCCTGCCGTGCCCTGCTCAAATTTGGGGGTGCCAGCTCCCCTGTCGTTAGCCTACCACAAGCGAGCGGTGCTCCTATTGATCCAATCTCAATTTCATGCTTTTAAAGAACCAGACGCAATGATTCAAAGCAGGCTGTAAAGGCGTGATGGGAACTGAGACACTAGAGGGTGTTTTCGTTCTGTTTCGACTTATTTTTCCCTCTCTTCTATCTCCATAACGCTGAGCTAACATGCCTCTGAGGTCTTAATCTGGTAAGAATTAGAAGCTCGAATATTTTCAGACAATTTGACTCCTCACCAGTCATGCTCCGATAACGTAAGGGAAAACCAAGCGGAAGAAAGATAATGTTTTGCTTTTCTATTCTCATATTAATAGTTGAAGGCATTCATAATGAGCTTCCCAAGCAAGTGAGCGTTTGTGAGATCGGTTTGTCATTTATAAAGCAGACAAATGTTATTTTAAAGAGACAGACTACCTCAAATTTAACATCCTATGATCATTTTCTTAGCCCTGTCATACAAAACCTGTAGGATTACAAAAATTTGGTATGATCTAGCTCCATATTCTAATAAATTCTGGTTAAGTGTGGGTTCCATAAGCATATCAAGGTCCACAATAATGCATGCCGGAACAGAGAAACACAATCTGTTAGTGGTAAAACATGCTGTAAATAGCTACCAGCTGAGTGGTGTGTACTGTCTTACACTCCTGCTTTATGTCATGATGTACTAATGCACAAACACACACACAGATGAGAGAAACTGTTCCGAACTCACAGCACAGGGCAGAATTTCTGGAAATGGATGAGATGTTGAGCTGGTGGTTTTTAGGATTAAAAGAACTAAAGGGCATTTAGAGGATTGCAACTTGGGAGGAGAGGAAAGATGCGAGTCAAGCAGAAATGCAGAATCAAACTGATGGTGCATTTTGCATGCCATGCAATCTTCCACAGAAAAAAAAGGAAGCCATAAGGGTCTGGAAAGACATGAGGGTGAGGAAATGATAGAAATGGAACTAATCCCTTAATGTCCTGTTCACACATCAGTTTAATCATAAGAAGTTTGCTGCAACTGCTGCATGTCCTGATGTTACTGGTGTTTTGAGTAAATGGACATAGTATTTTAAAATCACTCAAAATTCAAGATGCATCAAATAACAAGGTTTCAAAAGAAGATAAACAAACAAGATGCAAAAATACGCTTGCACTGCAGTTGTGCTTACCCATCTCAATTTTACATAACTTCCTCACACAATCTGTATGATGTGTAGCATAATTGAATAAAATAAGAGAGAAAAATCACTGTTTAAAAACAACGTGTTTAAAATCCGTTGTTTTGTCTTGTGGAATAAATGTAAATATATACCACCGTTCAAAGTTTGGGGTCAAGAAGATTTTGTTTTTTTTAAAGAAATTAATTTTAATTAATTCTCTTTTTTGAAAGAAGTTAATTTTAATCCCTGGTTACAGAAGATTTAAATTTCAAATAAATGCTGTTCTTTTTACCTTTGTATTCATCAAAGAATCCTGAAAAAATTATCACTGTTTACACAAAAATATTAAGCAGCACAAATGTTTTAAACATCGATAATAATAAGAAATGCTTCTTCAGCACCAAATCAGCATATTAGAATTATTTCTGAAGGACAAATTGACACTAATGGCTGGAGTATTAGCTGCTGAAAATTCAGCTTTGTCATCACAGAAATAAATTACATTTCTAAATATTTTGAAATGAAAAACAATTACTAAAAATTACTGCCATTAATAAAGTTAATAATATTTCAGAATACTACTATTTTTTACTCTATTTTTGATTAAATAGATGCAACCTTGGTGCCTTGGAAATCTTACTGACCACAAACTTTTCATTGGTAGTGTATATTTTGTCAAATAGCTTTATCGGGGCTTACATTTAAAAAAAAATAATTTTTTATTATCACATTTTATTTAAATTTAGAGCATAAATATATAGTGAACATCAAGAATTTAATTCAGATGGAGCTGTTGATTGGTTTACCTGTATCTGGGTTAAGGCTGAATTTTCCTCCAGTGTTGCCGCTCTGGATACGATACGTCACACGTCCGTTGTCTCCCTGGTCTGCATCTGCAGCCATGACATAGACCACGACAAAGCCCACAGGCTGGTCCTCCATCACACTCACCACAGACGGTGAGATGAACACAGGGTCATTATCATTCACATCAGTGACAAATATGCGGGCTGTGACCGTCCCACGGTGCCGCTGACCGACATCGGGGGCCGAATCCATCGCCTGAACCACCAAGAGTAGTGAAGAGGTCCTCTCATGATCCAACATCATTCCCAGAGAAAGAACTCCTGTGGTTGGATCCAGGAACAGGAGATCTGGAACGTTTGGCCACTGCTGCAGGATGGAGTAGTGTACTTCACTGTTGGGTCCGCTTCCGTCTTTATCAATGGCCTGGAAGGTGTAGATAGATGATCCAGGATCGGTGTTCTCAGGGACGACTATGATAATGGGGTCTTCGGGAAACTTGGGAGCATGATCGTTGCTGTCCTGGACATTGATTACCAATGTAACAAAGTGACTTTTAGGGAGAGGCATGGAGAAGTCATCAACCTCAATCTGGAGAGTGTATCGAGGAGCTTTTTCGAAATCAAGCTCACGGGCCAGGTAAACATCACCCGTCTGGCGGTCTACCACAAAGGTGCCGTCGCAGTCGGTGCCTCCCACCACAGTATACGTGACCTGGCCTACTTCAGGAAGAGTCTGAGAATCAGGTGAACGAACAGATCCCACGATTAAGCCGGGTTTAGCTCCCTCTACTGAATTCAACGTTATTGGTTGGGAGTTAGTGGTGGGTGATCCTTTATTTGAGCTTACAACCTGTAAAGAAAGACGTTTATGTATTAGATTTAGAAACTGAAATGATGAATGCAAAGCACGGCTAAATGTTAGACGATAGGAATGTAAATATTGGGATTATACTGTACATGATTCATTGCATTAAACTCATGCTTTACAGATTAAAAAAATGAAGAATTCCTATACAGCTTTTTGTAAGTTTTGCATCATATTAGTCCTATGTGGTTTTGGTAAGTCAATAAAAGCCATTTTTGTAGATTTGTGTACTATATTTTTGTACAGTGACTTTTTTCTTCAAGACCTAGATTTTACATGGGATCTAAACAGGTTTATTACTGTTAATTGAAATTAAAACGAAAACCACACACACACACACACACACACACACACCATTACTTAAAATAAAATATTAAAAACCTATTTCAGCAACATAAGCTAAATAAGAATCATTCATATTTTCTTTTACTTTATATAATTGTGTTCGTTTCCTGTATGAAAGTAAACAAAAAATATCCTATATTTTTTATTACCATAAAATACTAGTCTTACATTAGTTTTTTTATTTTATTATAATTAATTTTAAACTACATATCAGAACAGATTGTAACCCATTTTTAAACTGCATCCTGCTAGTTGCCTGTTAATGAAATACAACAGAACAGAAACATACTGCAGCCCACATTTTCTTCTCTTTTTACAGGGAATGAAAACTTTTTGGGGGGCTTTTACAAGCTCAAACAACAAACCTGCTAGCATTAATCAGAGTTAATTTGATAGGTCTGTGACTGCCAGGAAAAATAATACTGGATTAAAGTAAACATAATCATAATAGGAAACTGTTAGAACATTCAAATGTGCAAATATTCTTAATAAAAATACAGAATCCTCATAGATGACTCAGAAACACTTAAAAGCAAAATAACCTTGCTTCCTAATATGGAAGCCTGCGGTTTCTCTTAGCAGATGAGACATTGTTTTGATAGTTATGAGAGACTGTGTATGTGTGTGCGTGCACAGAAAGAGAGACAGACACAGAGATAGAATGATGGAAACAAACATTTAGATAAAGAAAGACACATATACAAACACAGCACATGCGAGACACTAAACCTCAAAACCGATGCGTTAGAACTCAAACAAGTTTTAAAATAAAAGTATGCACTACAACACAGGTGCTCATGAAAAACCTATTATTTTTTGTACTATGATTAAATCATCATTATGCACCAGGGTGATTAGTATATTGGCAGTAACGAGATTCTTGACGCCAAATCTTCTAATGAAACATAATAGGACAGAGGGGTAATTAATCCCACATTAAGCGGTAAATGACATGTTCCAACAAAAGATCTACTTTTTTTCACACAGCTGCTTTTGAGTCAAACTATTGATTTCTGAAAGAATCAAAGCCTTGCCAGAGCTCTTTTATTCTAATTAGATATCAATTATGAACTTTATTATTTGTCTTGGCACATCCATAACAATACTGAATCGTTATACAGCATAAATGTGTTTTCCAGGCATTTGCACGCTGGAATTTACTACTGTCGCTGTCCGTTGTGTCTGTTTCCACTCCGTTGACTCGTTCGAGAAATATTAATTTGATCACTGGGGTATTTCACAAGGAGTTTTCTGTTCTTCAAAGGGCTACTGAACTGTATTACGAGGCTTTGACGCAGCATAGCAGAAAGCACAGCTGGCACTTGTATCGGTGCAGCTGGGAGTCGGTCACTCCTACTTTGAGTGTTTTACACCGTAATATCACGCTTAAAATGTTGCAGACAACAACGGAAAAAAAGGAGAAAAAAAGGAGAAAAAAAGTCTAGGTTAAGACATTCATCTTTGAGCACCTAAAATTAGCCAGCTGAGAGTATTTTTCCCGGCATTTCTTGGGGAAGGTTACAAGACTTGGACTAGGAGAGATGAGTTGGCTATGGAAATTTGCAATGCAAGAATGTAAGCCTTGATTAGGCCAACTAGATCATTTCATATTTCCTTTGCATGATGTTTAACCTGAAAGCAGATGTAAACGGATCCATTCCTGTAGAGGATAATTTACAAGTTCATATTTTCATATAACAGTATTAAATAAATCATTTAGCATATTATGAAAAGGTGATGAGTAGATCCATGTGGCGGAAGGAGTTATTTTTAACTTGCGACAAAGCCAATCTCTGATATGACCAAAGACCTTTGTGTTAACTAAGCCATAACTAATCAAGGCACAATATACATTGTTAGGAAATTTGTCAGGAAACCTGCCAAAGAATGAGGGTCCAGAAAGGCTGAAGGCGTTTTACTGCTCAGATGTTTAATCCATCTGTCATCCAGTGGATATAATTTGCATGATTTAGAATGGTTAACAGACTTCTAGGTGTATCTCAACCTAGTCACCGTTTCATCTGACCTCAATTTTCAATGTTATGGTGGAGCTCTGAGGGGGTGAACCTCGGTCCGAAGCCAGAACGATGAAATTATACTCAGGACGCTCTGAATGGCTCAAAGGGGAAGAGGAGCGCAGCTCTCCGGTGTTTGGGTTCAGTGTGAAACGTTCGGCTCTGGGACCTACAGACAAGACAGGATGGAACGGGTCAGGTTTGTGTGCATCAGCGTGATAAAGAATGATTGGATTGACCATTTTTCTACTGTAGAAAGTGTGCATGACTTCAGTGTTGATCCCATCTGGATTTGATTTACAGATAAATTACAGAATGAAATAGTTATGTGTCAAATTCAGTAAATGTGTTACAAAACATATTTAATGATCTCACACGTCAACACATTACCTTCTACACTTCACGTCATGCTGTCTGAGCTATGATGAATAGCAGAATATTATGGCATGGGTCAGGTATGATATATTTTTGGTACCAGTATACGCTTTTAGTATCAATATCAGTGCAAGCCTAACAACAAACTAAATCTTATATTTTTTAATTAAATCAGAAGTTTCCTGTTCATTGTTGACAGACAATATGCTTTGCATCTGGTTTTGACACACTGTAAGACATCAAAACAACAGGTTTTGATTCAATGCATCTTTCTTACCAGACATGGAGTAGAAAATAGTTCCATTTTCTCCTTCATCAGGGTCTTTTGCATGAATGGTTCCCAGAAGAAATCCAGATGGCTGACCTTCTAACGCCTGTACAGAGATTTCAGTTAACACTTTTATCAGTACAGCTCACTTCTGTATATGAAATCGGCATCATTTTTCCTCTATAAAATCTTTGTAGAATTTTTAGAATATACAATATTTCATTCAAAAGTTTAGTAAACATTTTAATGGTTTTGGATGCTTCTTATTTTCTTATGGATGCTTCTTAGTTTCTTATGCTCACCCAGGCTGCATTTTTTAGATAAAAAATACATTAAAACAGAAATATTGTGAAATATTATTACAATTGAACTGTTTTCTATTTGAAAAGACTTAATCCTGTGATGTCAAAGCTGAAATTTCATCAGCCATAACTCCAATCTTCAGTGTCACATGAGCCTCCAGAAATCAGTCTAATATTCTTAATGACCCCAAAATCAGAGTTTTATTGCTTTTAGTCCATGTTTATTATCCATGACGTGTGAACTCTTTGACGAAGCTAACCTGTAGCACATATACTGTGCGCATTTAAAATGTACAGTCTTTCTCTTCTGGAAGACATAGCTTTGAGATTTATGAAGCTAATATTATATCTCATACCTGCAGCAAGAGCTCTCTTCCTGCATGGCTGAAGGAGGGCGCATTATCATTCTCATCCAGAACCGCAATGAAAGCAGTGCCTGTAGCACTGCGGGGAGGGTTCCCTCCATCCTGAGCCACCACCATGAGCTGGTAGCTGGACTGAAGTTCACGGTCGAGGGAAAGTTTTGTGCTTATCTCACCTTTAAAAGAATAGAACAGATGGAAAAACACACAGAGAGAGAGAGTAAGACAAACTATTTTATTGCACTATTTCATCTGTGGCAGAAGGCACAGATGGTACATCCTGACTTCACCAAGAGGTACCCCCACAGTTAGCAATAGCATGGTGCCAGAAGTCTGGAGCTGTGTGTGATGGCTAGTATGTTCAACAGCTCCACATTAGGGATGGGTCAGAACAGTCAAATAGTCATTCGATAATGGACTATGGGTTCACTGAGGTTGGCTAGTTTGCATATTTAGATTTCTACAGTTTTTAAAAATTGCAGATTTTCATGTTTTCCTGTCAAAATGTCTAAGAGAGAATGCTGACAAGAAGTCAGAATAACATTGTTTTTGTGAGGACTGTGAGAGCTTTCTGAAATTAAAGGTTATAGTAATTATTTTACCCATTTGTTGAATATCTGTCAGTTTGTATGCTAACAATCAGTAACTGTCAGACTATCAGCATGACAAATCTCTCTTTGGAAAGATGTTACTCTACATTCAAAAATTTACCACCTTCAAAATCAGACTTCAAATTCCTTTATTTGAGTAATATTCTCTATTTTTAGTGAGGACTGAAAGTTTGGTTATAGTTGGAGTATTTTGCATTTTGAATATCTGTCAGGTAGCATGCTAACAATCAGTAACTGTCAGACTATCAACACACTAAAACTGAAACTAAAGCTGCTACACAAAATTCACAAGTTCACCACCTACAAAATTACAATTGCAGTTGAAATCACTTGGTTTGAGCAATGTTCCACATTTTTGTGAGGAGTGTGAAAGCTTGGTTATAGTTATGTAGCCTATTTATTTGTTGACAATCTGTCAGTTAGCATGCTAGCAATAAGTAAATTTAAAAATATGAGCACACTAAAAATCTATTTGGAATTTTTACTCTAAATTTAAATTCAAAAATTAATATCCATCAAAATTAATACAAATACCCTCAAACTTCAAATTACTTGCCTTTTTTGTAAGAACTATAAAAGCTTGGTGTTACTTAGCCTATTTATGTGCTAAATATCTTAGCAATAAGACATATAATGAACATGACACGAAACCAGTCAACGTATATAGTGCTTCCTTAAGACCAACTAGGCTGACTAATTCATAAACAACTCACCAACTAGTCAATTTCCAAAATACATAGTTTTGCACATCCCTACTCTATACACACAAAGATAATACCACTAGACTTGTCTAGGTGCCAAGCTGATCTTGTCATTCCGAGTCATTTTGGTCTGTTAGACTGCAGCCATATTTGAAGCTCACCTGTGTGGGAGTTGATTTGGAAGTGGTGATTCAGATGGAGCAGGCGGTAGCTCAGCCGACCGTTGAGACCAGCATCCCGATCGCTGGCAGACACCCGGCCGAAGCCAGTGCCTGCCGGCAAGTTCTCGCGCACTGCCAGGAACGCTCTTTCTTGGATAAACCGAGGGGTGTTGTCATTTTCATCCATCACTGACACGCGCACTGTAGCGCTACCCGTCTTCTTCAGCTGTCCGTTGCCTGATGTGGCCAGTGCAGTGAGCAGGTACATCTCCTTGGCTTCTCTGTCCAGGGCACTTTTCACGAACAGCCAGCCGCTGTCAGACACAATGCCAAACCCTGCAGCATCACCGTCTGGGTGCAGGTGGTAGGCTAGTGGGGCGGAAGATGTAGAAGACGACCCAGGGGTGATGCCACCATCTCGGTTTATAGCTCGTACCTGCAGGAAGCGAGTGTTGAGAGGTGTGCTTTCCTTCAGTTCTACTCGGTATGTGAGACTATCGAACACAGGGCCTTGGCCATTCTCTGCTTGCACGTGGATGACCAGGGTGAAGGTAGAACTTAGCTGAGGTGCTCCGCTATCTTTAGCAATCACCTGCAGGTCATAGCGAGGCATGGTCTCGTACGACAAACTGCCAATCAGGCGGATTTGTCCACTGTTGCGATCGATGCTGAAGGTTCTCTGGGTACCGCCGGTGAACAGGTCAAAACTCAGAAGACCATTGGGTCCAGAATCATGATCTTCTGCTTGGACCTTATACACCACTGTACCCATCCGGGTGTCTTCAGGTAGAATCAGTGACTCGGAAGATGAGGGCAAGAAGACGGGCGCATTGTCGTTGACGTCAGACACTGTAATTCGTACCCTAGTCTGGCCAAAGGCCGGGGGGTTACCGCAGTGCGCCTGGACTTCCAGATTCAAGCTGGGTTGGGCCTCGTGATCCAGAGGCAAGCTCGTTCTCAAAGCCCCAGTCTCCGAATCAATAGTGAAGTAGCCCGTGGGGTCACCAGAACTAATAGTGTAGGAGATATCCTTCGAGACACCTGAGTAGAAAGAGGCAAATGGCCAGAGACCCATTACTTCACAGTGTAGGACGAAAACAAAGACGAAGAGTTATTTTTCAACACGAGACCAGAATTTAGTGCTTCAAATATCCAAAGCAAATTGTTAAAAAACTAAGCGGTGAAACAGAATCAATGATTAATGTCGATTGTAAATGAGGTGTGTACAGTGGTTCCATGCATATTTGTACAAGTGGTGCACCATGGAGAAAAAAGCCAGAAGACGTCTTTCAGCACACTTGAACGCAGTCCAATGTGACTGATAAATGTGGGTACACACTGAAGTCTGGTTTATGTGTTTTAACGTGTTGAATAGGGATTTGTGTCCAAAGGGGGGAATAAAAAACCTCTGAGATTAGCTCACCCACCGTTCTTAGTGCTGGCCCGCACAACGCCAACTTGTGTTCCACGCAGGGCATCCTCAGAGACCACGAAGAAGTACTGAGCTTGCTCAAACACAGGGGGGGCGACCAGTCCTGCCACTATGCTGATGTTGACCCTGGCATTGACTGGAGCAGTAAGGCCCCCACCATCTTGGGCTGAGACCACCATCGTAATGACTGAGTTTGCCTTTCCATGTAGAGCGCGCGACAGTGAAATCACTCCTGAGAAAATGCACACCCAGAAGAAATATTTTCATTAGGTTTAGAGGTATCAGAATACATCAAGACACAAAGCACAATATCTCTTCATCCTATACACACACCCACACACTACCATTCAAGTTTGGGATCAGTACAATTAAAAAAAGTAAAGAAAATAATACTTTTATTATTTTCTGGTGTAATAGTTGCTGAAAATTCAGCTTTGCCATCATTTGCCATTAAAATATAAAACAGTTATTTTAAAGGGGTCATATGATGCGATTTCAAGTTTTCCTTTCTCTTTGGAGTGTTACAAGCTGATTGTGCATAGATAAGATCCCTGAAGTTGCAAAGACTAAAGTCGCAAAACCAAAGAGATATTCTTTATCAAAGTTAAGACTCTGCCACGCCCCCCCTAAAATGGCTCGTTCTAACACGCCCCCACATATCTACATCACTATGTGGAAATATTTGCATAATGTGCAAATATGTGCATGCAAAGAAAGAAGGCGTGGTTTTAGTAACCGCAGTTAGTGTTGAAGCAGCCATGTCAGGGAGACGCTGTGTGTTTCAATGCGAAAGCAAAAGCACTTTATTTGGCCTTCCGAAAGTAGATGCATTTAGGAATCTTTAAGATTACTTACAACAGAACAGCAATG